TTATATTTTATGATGGGAGATTTTTGGTAGTGGTGCCATCTATGACTAGAACACAGTACTAAACAACATTTAGTTGGCTTAACTAAATTCGAAAAACATGAAAATGTGAGTTGCTTTTCTATCCAGATACGCGTTTTGATCTATCAGATCCCATCAGTGTTGGTAGGAAAGCAAAGAAAACCAACTCAGATTCGTGCCTGTAGGCAAACAAGATAAAATATAGATGGCGCCACTAGTAAAAATCTCCCATCGTATTGTATCTTCGATCTGATAGATCGAAACCAGTCTGTGGATGGAAAAACCAAGAAAAACAACTCATATTTTCATATTATATTTTATATACTTTTGTTAACTTTATCAATTTTAACTTATTTTAGAACTCATAATTGTGTTAGGTATATGTTGTTATGATTTTTATAATTTTTATTTTCCACTTAACTATTATAGATCCATAATACCAAGGAAACGAAATAGGTTAACATACCTATAACAACCTGAGGGCATTATAAGCCCAGCGGGCCTTATAATCCATTACGTCCGCTTATAATACCCTGAGGTGTTTTTGTTGCTGTTGTTTTATCAATTTGCACTTTAGCCTAGGCAGCCACTAAATGTCCGACCATAGAGAAATATAATAGTAGTAAACTACGAGAGAAGTTTGTTTAATGTAAAAATTTGGAAGTGTGTTTGTGCATACTCCCGTAGCGCATTTCGCATGGTGTGGCAGATTATTGAACTAATTACTTCGATCGTTTCTGACAACTCGGTTTAATTTGTCTTTGTCAGCAAATTGCCCGAAAATTTTCTATCTTTTTTTTAACACATACAAAATACAAAATTTGACAAATGATTGAATCTAAAGACCATCAATCAAAAACTGAATGCTCATCTTCATAACTTGAAATTTCTTCTATTATTTATATTAGAGAAATGGGAAAACATTCTGTGATCATATCCATAATTATTAATTATTTAGACAAAACCGACACCAATAATAGTGCGTTTTCGAATTTGCGATGATGCGAGATGCAGTAAAAAGGTAAACACAAAACTTAATACAAACATTTTTAGTTACTGTATATATTTATAAAATTGTAATAAAAAAATAAGTTTGTTCGAAGATATTTCAATTTTTGTATTGTTCAATTACCTCCTTGGCCCCCTTAAAAGGAATCTCATTTCACCTAATTTGGATTTGCTAAAAATAAGCTCTGTTATCGTTCTAAACAGTTGCTCGGTAAATTTTAGCAAGTTTTTTCAACAAATGTATTGCTTTGCAATTAACTGTTTTGAGCGTTTACAGTACTTTATTTTTAATAAATCTAAATAAAATCAACGCTAATAATTTAATTATTTGAAAAAGCTGCCTTTCCAATGTCGGTAAAGAAGAAACCTGCAGTCAAACAATGTTCACTCTTTTAGTTGCTGTCCGTAGCCACCAGGGGAGCTAACGTCGACATTGTGCCAGTTAAGTACAGGGGTATGACTTCTCTCGTAGTTTACTACTATTATATTTCTCTATGTGTCCGACCGAAAATAATTTACGGTCTGGCCAGGATTCGAACCCGGTCTAATATCAATGTTTCCCATGTAGTCCAGCGCGTTAACCCACACGACCACCACCGTTGCCTTGCCTTATGAGATGTTTTTAGATATATTAATTTATTTCGTTTCTAGGAACATGTCGCAGGTACAGGTAGATGTCAAAATACAAAACAATATTCTGTCATACAAGTTTAACTAATTTTGTTAATACTTATTGATGAAAGAACATTGTGTTGAGTAGAAAATAAGGGCATTAAAATCTACATAATCCCCTTGGTACATAATAAATAGCTATATTGTGCGGTATTAACTTCATTCAACTTTAATTATTATGTGCACACTTTCTATCCATGTATCGATCTATCTAACTAAGCCAATAAAGTGCCAGGAATAATTATTAAAATTTGACTTTTGATTATTTCCGGCTAAAGATTGAGTTCAATCAGTCAAATCGTACTCAAATTAGCCTCATCAAGAAACAAGAATAATCAAAACTCAAGTTTTGATTATTACTGGCTCTTGATCGAAGTTAGTTTTGGATTTGAGAACTGAAACTAAACCAATCAAGAGCCAGGAATAGTCAAAATTCGAAAAGGCAACCTTTACAGGCAGCAAAAGTTAATACTAAGAAAGGTATAACCTGATTAGTCTCGACTCTCGGCAGGAATTTCCGATGTTATCTTATAATTTGCTAAGTTTCGATGACCCCAATCAAGCGTGTACTCCGTATTGGGTATAACGTAACGCTTATCGTCCGCGTAAGACAAGACTACCTTATTTTTAAGTTCGATATACATATAATGTCCATGTGAACGGAAAGTGTTTATCTGACGATGAATAAGCCTACCCTCCACGTCAACTGCAGCCTTATAATATTCAAAACTAAGTTCTTTCTTGATCACGTAATCAGGTACACCTTAAGCTTTTTTGGTTAACTTCCCATCCACATTAACACAATATGCCCTGTGACCCGGGACCCAAACAAGGGTGACCTTGTTGAGCCCACAAACCGACTGAACTAACCTCTTGATTAAGTTGATTTATTTGCTTTATTCAATTGTGCCTGAAATATGAAACTAACCCAATCAAGAGCCAGGAATCATAAGTCAAAATTTGATTATTCCTGGCTTTTGATTGGGGTTAGTTTCAATTTTAAGAACTGAAACTAACCCAATCAAGACCCGGGAATAATCAAAATTTGACTATTTCCCGCTGACGACTGGGTTCAATCAGTCTAATCAAGAGCCGGAAATAATCAAAATTCAACCCGTGAGTATTCCCAGGTATTGAATAGGCTAGTTTTGTTTTTCATTGTTGAATTATTTCTGAGACATAAACTAAAGCCAATCAAGAGTGGAAAATAATCAAAATTCAAGTTTTGATTGAGCTAGTTTGATTCATTTTGATTTTGATATACAAAACTAATCAAATTTAGGAACCAGGAATAATCACAAATTAATTGAATGGAAAATTAAATAGTAACCCCTCAAAAAAATATCACATTATGGTTTTACAATATTTTATTAGGAACAAACTCGCTGTCCAAATTCATTCAATAACCATAAACATATTTGCCGTTCACTGAACTAAGAGCAGATTGAACGGGTCTCAGAACACTTCTGGGTAGGTATCGACGCTAGAAGGCCTTCCAGATCTGTAAGACGGCTCAAACACAAAATTATAGATGACTGAGCGTTTAACAGAACGATCCAAGTAGTGACCTGGAGTGCCCATTTTCGCTTTTGAGGTGCATCTACCCTAAAACAAACCTGTGAAAATTTTAATTCTTTTAATGCTCGCGTTGGCGTTTGAACTTCTGCTTTTGCTCATTGATATTGCCTTTTTTTTTCACAGTCGAACTGGGGTTGTTTTTCCATGCATTATGCGTACAGAGCAAGCTTACATTTCCCATGATTGATCTCATAGTTATTTATGTTCGCAAAATTTAAAACACTAAACTAGCATAAGAAACTGAAAATATGTCAAACATCTCGCTTGTTCCAATTTGTAAACAGTCATCGGAAACTTTTAATTTATCCTATGAATGAAACTGCATAGATTATCATCCCTAAACAACAAAATTATAAAAGTTCGTCAACATATCAAAGACAAACTGAATTGAAGGCTGTAAACAGATCTGACCTTCAAACTGCTTATGTACGCAGAAAATAATCACGTCTCAGTTTTTGTAGAAACGACAAGAATTTCAGAAACACATCCTCGAAAAAATCCTCTCAAAGTGGAGAATTTAATTGGAGAATCAAGGACGTTTTGGAGCGTACTTGTATCAAATTGAACTGACCCCCAAACCATTATTTTTTATGGCGCTACCTTGACACAATTAGGATTCTCGATATGAATACGCAAAATTTTGCAAATAAACAATAATAATATGAGAGTCAGGATATTTTTCTGGAAAAAGCAAACAATAAATCTGGATTGGCTTCAGAATTTTAGAATGCAAATTCCTGAAATTATCACGCTATTCTGCAATTTTTGTTAGCTATGCATTAATTTCGAACACCATAGAGCTTTCCTATTGCTTGCCAAAGCGGGTAAATTTCAATTTTTTTGTATTTGTTATTATTAAGCAAGATTTTCAGTAGCTACTTCACAAACAACAAACCCATTTTGTTGGCTTTAGACAAAAGATAATCGAAGCTTTCCAATATAAAGTAAAAATCCTATAATCCCTATACATCAAACCTATATCAATTGTCGAAAATTTCAATCTAAAACTGTTTACATGCAATGGGTTCATCCTCCTTTCGTGATAGGCAAATATCGAATTGCAAAAACCCTTTGAAGGAAATGTTTATTTACGAGTCTATACCGCAACAGAGGTTTATTTATTTGCTCACAACCGCTGACCCTAGTGCTAGAATACTTTTTTGTAGTAGTTTACAGTAATTTGTTTCATACTAAAAATAATGAGGGGTTTCGTCTCTGGAGAATAGGGTTCCAAAAATTTAAAAACTTTACTCCTCATTAAATTGGATTCGCAAAAAAATAAAGTTGTCTCCATAAACCAAAGCTCTTTTCAATTACCGTCCGTTAAGAGCAAAAACGAATAAATTACAGGAAACTGCCAAGTTCAGGATTTCAATTGAAGCCATAACAAGTAACAAGCAATTAATTAAACCATTTACATAAACGATACTTTTAGACAGTTTGAAATCAATTACCAATTTCATATTTATAGCTTTTTGAAATCCTGGAAAAAGTTTTAATGAAAATTGCTCAACACAATAATTGAGTCTCGATCATTTTTAAATAATATGAGCGTCATAGCCACACAATTATGGAGAAATATAGGAATTTGAAATATTTTCTTAAAATCATCATCGTAACCACACAAGTTATACAACAAATATAGAACATCAAAAAAGAATATTAAAACTTGAGTCACATTTTGTTTGATACGAGCTTTAAATAGTTTCTCCTTATCTTTTCAGCTTCAACGATATGAAGGGGCCTCGACAATTTTCGGCCCTCACACTTTGGAAATCTACCAGAGCAACTACAAGAGCCTTGCTGAATCTATGATAAAGGTAAAATGAATTTTCGAATATTATTTACTCGGTATTGTTATTATATGAAGCTATAAAGGCTTGGAAAATACATATTCTCAGACAAATGAAAAGCCCTAGGGTTGTGCCTATATTCCCACACAAGCAAATTTATTTACTTTGTCTGAGAGTTTTCCCATAGCGCTTTATTTCACCCTTGGCTTTATGGAATTTTGAAAAAATAGATAATTTTTTTGAAATCCCTATTATTTTATTGCCCAAGGAAATAGTGTGGTCGTCAAAAATCAAAACGGTATTTAAATGAGAAAAAACTAAGTTCGATTATGTTCTCTTAGCTTTTTATCATGCAAACTATCACTTTATATTCAAATTATACAATCCACTTGTAGAGTAATTATTAAAGTTCAAGTTACTTTTAGAGGTGTGGGCTGGCGAACAGTAAGTATTTATTTTCAGATTTGAAATCTGATCTGAATAAAGTTGAATTTAATTTATAACAGACACAAAATGCGTTGAGGCTTTGAAGTCGGAATTCAAATTACCCATAAACAAATCATCCAGAATATATTTTCTAAATGTCTGCATAGTTTAAGGACTGTTGGGTGGGTCAAAGTATGCAATGTCTCTGGTGGACAAACATATAAAAGGACATTAAACCAAAAGTAGTTTTTTCTGTTCGTCGCCGTATATCTGTCACTGATAAGCACGCGTCGTAAAAATAAACCGTAAAGGTTTCTGTTTTTATTTCAGTGGAATTTCTAATTTTGAGAAGGTTGGAGAGGAGCTGGAGCGTGAATAAAATATATTGTTTTTTAAAGTAGAAACAAGCAGTAAACTGCTTAGAATTCGTCAGTGTTGCAGAACAGTCAGGTAACAAAGTCTGTAGCATTTTAATGGAACGGGCATGTTGTTGAAATTAGTTTTTAATGTATGTATTCACTAACTTTTAGGTTTTTGTTTCTGAGGTAAATTTTGGGAACTTCACTCCACAGGATATTGATACAGAATGTTAGATTATGTTACTGTGTATACAGGGTGTTACAAACTTCAATGACAGATACTATTTATGAAAATAAGTAAAAAAGTTCCTATAGATATAGGTCCGGAAACGCTTTGTTTCCAAGATACAGGGTGTTAAGATTTTCAAAAAAATTTCGTTTTTTATTAATAACCCAAAAGAGCTTTGGCCGATTTCAATGAAATTTTCACGGTTTATTTAAACCATTATCAGACATCTACTGGAATAATTAGATTTGTTCCAGAATTTCTAGGCGCGTACCCAGCGACCAAGTCGGTTGCTTTTTTGCAGAAAAAAATATCACCCTGTAGTTTTTGTACGATTTTTATCAATTATACAGACAAAACCACTAAAAATACATTATTGTCTTATGGCTTTTTCAAGTATCTCGCTTCGTTTTCGCGGAAAAATTACAATACCATACCTCGGCACGTCTCTAAACTCCATAAGAAAAAAATAAAAATGCTTAGGAATTGATTAAAAATGTATCGCAGTTTGTTCATTAATGGAAACAAAACAAAAAAAATCTCAAATAGAATTTATGTCTTTGTCACTCAATGAATGGATGATGTATCTTAATTTCTATGAATTTTTATCTTTCCTTATGAAGTTCAAAGGCGTGCCGAGGTATGATATTATATTTTTTTCGCGAAAACAAAGCTAGATAATTGAAAAATTCAAGAGACAAAAGCTAGGGTAGATTTGATAAATGTTTTTGGAGAGACCACCGTGACATTGGGAATAGGCAGCACCGAACTTAAGGTAGAAGTGATAGTTGCTGACATAGTGGATGAATTTATATTGGGAGTGGATGTCCTAGAAACCTTTGATTTCCTATCAGTGGACTTTAAAAATAAAATATTGAGTTTGGGCAATGAAGAAATACTCTTCACATCACCGTCAAATAAGGACTGTCAAATTAGAATAATCGTTGATGAAGATACACGAATTCCTGGAAATAGTGAGTCGAATGTGCAGGCACACCTAGAAAAACAGCTAGAAGGCGTGAACACCATGATCGTGGAACCAACAGGAAACATGCAGAATGAAACACTTGTGGCATATTGCTTAAAGAATTTCAACAATGTTTTTCCAGTGAGAGTGGCCAATCTAACAACAAACCGTATGACATTGAAGAAAGGAGACGTCGTTGGCAGATGTACACCAGCTATACGAGTAGTCTGAGGCGCAAAGAAGGAGCCTGTGTCAAATGAAGCACATTTATCAATAGAGCTTCTGGAGAAGTTTGAAAAGAGCTGGAATCACTTAGGCCAGCAATAAAAGAAGAAAGCTATTGACTTTGTGCAGAAAGAGGCTGGTGTTTTTGTGCAAGATAAAATTACTGGACGAACTAATTTGGTAGATCATCGCATCAATACAGGAAGTGCTACACCCATTCGCCAACCATCACGAAGACTCCCTTTCGCAAAGCAACAGCAAGTTAACACCATGCTTAAGGAAATGCTGAAGGACAATATCATAGAAGAATCTAATAGTCCATGGTCATCGCCGGTCGTACTAGTTACGAAAAAGGATGGTTCTACCAGGTTTTGCGTGGATTATAGAAGGTTGAATGACGTTACGAAGAAAGACAGCTATCCCTTACCTCGGATTGACGATACCCTTAACACCCTATCAGGATCCAAGTGGTTTTCAGCCCTGTACTTGAAAAGTGGATATTGGCAGGTGGAACTCAATAAAGAGGATGAAGAGAATGTTGAAAAGTGTTGTTTTATCTCACACTAAAATCTCTTTTATTTCTGTGTTGGTTACTGTTGTGGAAAAACAAAACAGTGGCCAAAACCGTCTGTCAAGTTGGAAAAAGCGTATAATAATAAACGAATGTTGAGTTGTCTTTTTCTCTTGGAGCTTTTTGTTCGATTTCGGTGTTGGAAAATAAAAATAAGTAGAAAAATTGTGTGCTTCATTTATTAAAAACAAGAGGTTATGGGTCCAGAGCGGTGGCGTTAAAGATACAGTGAAAATCCGAGGTTTAAAAGTGATTTTGCTGGTGATTGGAAAGCAGGGAAAATAGCTGGTACAGCAGCAGGAAAAGGCTACTCAATTGAGCCATTAATTGGAAGTTCAGAATGGAGCTTATTCTGGAGGAAAATGGTGTTAAGCTAATGACTGAGGCAGAAGTTGATCCAACAAAAGAAAATGAAGTTAAAAAGGACAACAAAGCAAAATGCTTAATTGTTCAGTGTGTTGATGACACACAATTGGAGTGCCTGAGGAACTGTGGATCAAGTTTTGAAATGTGGAATATGCTGGTAGAAAAATATGAATGAAAAGGATTAATTACCAGGCCAGCTGTACCTACCTTAAGAAAAAGTTGCTTTCTATGAAGCTGAAGGAGTATGATTGCCTCATGAAACATATTGAGGATTTTGAGAACATTGTCAGAAAATTGAATGCTGCTAAAGCTGACATGGAAAATGACGACCTGATATGTAACTTGCTATTAAGCCTGCCAGCTTCTTATGAGACAGTTGTCACAGTCATTGAAAATATACCAAATATTTCATACAATGATGTTAAAGCAAAGCTTGTAGCTGAAAGTGATAAACGAAATTTGAACTCAAGAAAAGTTACTTCAGCAGCCAGTTCCAGTACAGAAGCTACTGCTTTCAATGCACAGAAGACTTGCTATAAATGTGGACTTGTTGGCCATTTCAAACGTGAGTGTCCTGAAAGAAATCAAGGTGAGGATCAGGGCCAGGGTTGGCACGGCCATCAAGATGAAGGTGGAGCTCGAAGTGGAGGTTATGCAAACAATAATAGAGGAGTTTTTCGAGGAGGTGGATATCAAGCAGGGGCATCGCGTCGGAAGGGGTAATGGGGGTAATTACCCCCCCCCCTCAAGATCGAATTATCAAGAGAAAAATCAGGATGCCCAAAAGAAAATACAAAATATATCGAAGAAAATAAATTTTTGTTTTGTTTTATTCTTCTTACAAAGGAAATAATTGTTCTGGAAAAGTGAATGACCTTGAAATTTGCAAAAAAATTAGCCTGCGGCGCATTTTCGGAGGGCGTCCCCTCAATCCCCTCCGTACCATTTACTCCCCCTCAGACTGATGGTCACGCGTCGCCACTGATATCAAAGAACATATCGAGGTGGTAGAGGTGGCTTCGGAGGAAGATTTCAAGGAAGGAATAGATATAGGAATTTTCGAGGGAACTCATAGTTATGAATATTATGCCGAAACTTATAGTGAAAATACAAATGAAAATAACAGTCAAGCTAACAGAAATGATGTATTGAATCAGAATGACTCTTCAGTTGATAAAAGTGTATGCTTCATGGGGGATAGAAATGGAGATTTAACTGACAATAAAAATATTGGCACATTGAGTTTTTATGTAGATTCTGGTTGCACCGACCATATGGTTAATAAGAAACATTTTTTTAAAACTTACTTATGCTTAAAGAGCCAATAAAAATTGCAATTGCTAAGGATACTAGTTATCTATTGGCCATTGGGGTTGGTGACATAGAAATGTAATATGGTATTGTTAACAATGAAAAGATCCAGATGTAGCATCAAAAATGTATTTTATGTTCCTAATTTGCGCAGAAACCATTTATCAGTAAAAAGGCTAGAGATGGTTGACATTCGGGTATTCTTTGAAAATGGCCAAGTAAAATTATTAGATAAACATAACAATATTGTTGGGTTAGGAAATAATCTGTATGAGAATTTATTTAGTTTATTCCAATCAGAATGCTTAAATGTTGAATCTGAGAATAATAACTTTATAAAGTGGCATAAGCGATATGGTCGTAATGGTTTTTCAGGGTTAAAAGAAATTATTAGGTCAGGGATGGTATACGGTATTGAGGAAAAATTTAAAAGTTCAAAATGTGGAAATTTGTGAACCTTGTGTCAAAGGAAAGTTATCAAGAATACCATTTGGGATACGTACAAAAAGCAATAGGTTTTTGGAAATGATCCATACTGATCTGTGTGGACCAATAAGCCCCACTTCTTTTGACGGA